TGACCATGGGCACACTGGATATCTCCACTTGGGTATCCTGTGGGCATTTCCAGTATTTCCTAAACAGAATTTATTACCTTTTCTCCTGAAACCCTGAGTTTCTTCAAAACTCTGAAGGCATCACTGTCCTCAAAAGTCACACAAGCTCAGAACTTAGCGGTCATCATATCATTTACTGTCTCTCTCTCCTTTTATCCAAGGATTTATTGCCCAGTCCTGCCAATTCTACGTTCACAACGTCCCTTGGCTGGTCCCATTCCCTTCAAGCCCTGCCCATGATCCTCCTGTCATGCCACTGCTGGTACCAGCCCTACCCTACGGCCACATCGTCCCAATTCCCAACCAGGCTTCCCCTGGCCCTCTTCTGGCCCCAAGCCAGTCATCACATCACTCCCCCAGAGGATTGCCTTAGGTGTCCCTTCCTCCCTGTGGAGCATGGCTGATTCACCTGGCTATCAGCACTCTCCCTCAATTTATCTTTGCCTTATTGACCTGTCTACCTGGTGTTGCCCTGAACAGACTGAGTGACTTGAGTACAGGGACTGTCTCTCATTTGTGACTAGCAGCAGTGGATTAAGGGAAGGAGAAAGATCCTATCCAAAACAGGCAGTATTCTAGAGGTCATCCAACTCCAGAATTGACCCTGGGAGCCTCCAAGTGCAGCAGCCACCTCCCCCACCTGGTCCAGGGGTGGGGTGTCTGTCCTTAGGAGGGATGAGTGACTTGAGCCTCACAGCCCTTGAGGATCCTGGGGATACACCTGGATTTAGCGTTAAGACCAATTCTGCAATATGTTAAGTCGTAAAACATTCTACGAGGCAATTCCCTTCCATAAGCCTATTTCCTTACCTATAAAATGGAAAGTAGACCAGATAATCTTAATCTTCTAAGGTTTTTCATCATTCTGCAGCTTCCTGGACTCAAAATGTCTAACTCATCTCCAGGCTGGATCTTACTCCTAAACATTGCCCCATAAACAAAGATGGACTTCAAGTGAAATTCAGCCTTGAATCTTGAAAGAAACCAAAACTGGAGTTTCCCAGAATTCTGAGGCCATTCATCGAGTACACAGTAGATATGGAGATAGCACTGAACCAGGCCTTTCTCCAAAGAACTTCCCCAACGCTTTGCAGAAGATGGCACGCCTTAGTTTACCCAACTCTGGCTCTGAGGCAAGCCAGATAATACCTCTAAGGTACAAGAAAGGGAGCCTAAAATGTTTATTCAAGTGCCAAAGGCTAGTTGGCAAAACCCAAGGAAGAGCCCTGCTGTAGCCTTCAAGGCAGAGGGGAACCATCTGGTTTCTTCCCAATGTCCTAAAGATAACAGCATGAGCCTGGCTCCTGGCAAAGCGGCTTGGTGGTTTTTGCCGCCTGGACTTCCTCCAGGGAATTCCACCACCTCTCTGGCTAACTCATCTCAAGACTGATATTCTTGAAAATAAAATAATGCCTAGCACCTAGCAGGTGCTTAACAATGCTTGTTGCTTTGAGGCCTTTGTTTTACAAGACGCTTTCTGAACAAGCCTGTGAAGTAGACGTTGTAACCAATGCATACACCCTTAATACAGGAGGAAACTGAGGTAACTTGCCCAGGGTCATATTGCCCCTATGCCTATGTCTGCTATCTCCATGACATCAGGGAATGGGGGCTCTAATCTCAGTTCAACTCAACAAGCACTAAAACCAAGGTATCAACAATTTTAGGCATCAGAGATACCAAAGACAGACAGAAGCAGTCCCTGGTCCTTGCATCTTACGGGTGGTATGGTAGGCGTGTGGGTGTTTACAATATCTAATATGTAAGCAGATAAAAAAGTGTAATTTGAAAACTATGAGAGGCTATGTGGCACAGTGGAAAGGGCACTGTGTTCAAATCTAGGCTCTGCTCACTACCTGTGTTGAGTCTAGACAAGACAAGGCTTCCAGTTTCCTGACCTCTGAGAGTCACTCCAGATCTAGAATGGACACAACTAGAAGGATCAGCAGAGAATTCCCGCAGGAAGCAAACCTTGAAAAAAGCTGGGGATTGAGTCTAAGAGGCAGATCTGAGGAAGGAAGGCAACCTAGGCATGGAGTACATTCTTTGCAAAGGCACAAAACGCCCGAAAAGGGGAGTCAAGCCAGCAAGTCTGGAAAGGTTAACTGAGTCAGGCTCTAAAGGGCTTTAAATGTCAAAGCGGGAGAGAATGTGCTTTAACCTAGAGGCACTAGGGAGCCACTAAAGATTCTTGGGGAGGGTAGTGACACACTGTCCTTTAGGAAAATTATCTCAGCAGCTGCATGGAGCACTCTGCCACAGTTTATCATTCAGCCCATGGGCTACCTTTCTTCCCTGACACCCTAAGTACTTCCCACAGAAGACTCTATATCCGGACAAACAGACCATTCCTATTTTGGGTTTTTCTTATATTCTTTTCCTCAGTGGAGCTAAAACTTTTTCTTGTCATCCTTCTAGATTAAGAAACCATCTCTATCTATTCCTACTCACCAATTATAAGGGCATTCACCAGAACAAAGGCGAATCAAATGGATCTTGATAGGCATGCCCACTCACATCAAAAGTAAATTTAGGCAGAAGCTGACATACCGATCCCACTGTAAAAGGCTGGTCCACAGACACATGTTCCGTCCGGTCCTGTCCCCCCGCCCCCATCCCCTTTTTTACATTTTGGACACAGGACCCCTTTCCCCAAAAGAAATTTAAGGGGACCTACCCCACTTGGGCATCCAAATAGCCATTTATTCTACTCCAGGAAATTCCACAACAGTTTTCAAGCACCTGAAAATGGATAAGACAGAGATTAGTCCTTTTTACAGGGAGACTGACAGACTCAAAAACAAGAGAGAAAGATCCTGCATGCAGTTTACACATTACAGGAGAGAAACATGCAATTTAAGACTGAATTTTTTAACATTTCACTGTAAATATAAATACTGGGATCTATAGGGGAGATTGGGGGGTTGGGGGGGGCGTCATCCTTTTACATTTTAAAGTAACTAAGCAGAAATCTTCACTTTGGGGGCAGTAGCATAGTCGGCCTAATCTATAATCATTGTCATTTTTACACTGTCATTTAATGTGTCAGACTCTGTGCCCAGATGATGTTACAGTTCATTTGTAATGGGCAGGATTATTAAGAGTTATGGCTAATTTATACGGCAGCATAGGGTCTTTTACAGCTACTTTTAAACAGGTTTTGCAAATTTTTTAACATTGAAATTAACAGCTAAAGAATTGTTTATGCAAGTTGTCGTCACAGGTTATGTAAAAAAGAGAAATATGTGCTATTAAAATCAGACATTTAGGTTACCTTTGTTTTTTTGCGATGCATGTTAGCTTTACACATCCTGATTCTCTTGCGATAATTTTCCTTTAAAAAGGGGGGTATAGAGTGATCTCTTTTCATCAAAACAAGACATAATGCCCTGAAAGCTGACTCCAAACCATGGTTGAAAATTCAGTTATTTACACTTTATCACAATCTATAAATACAAATTTTTTTTTTTGTTGGTGTTTTAAAAAAAAACAAAAATACCCCATCATGCACTGCTGCAAGCAGGTTGCCACTTAATACCAGAACGGGTTTTTCACCCCCGAGCAGTTTGGGTGGCTCCCTGGGGTGGTAGAGAGGGGAACATATTAAAAACCTTGAAGGTTGTGAGGAAAGAAGAATACAACTTGGGCACCAAGTCAGTTGTAACAGGCAAGATACTCTTCAGAAGGGCTTCAGAGATAGCTTGTAATGCCAGATCAAAAATAAAGACATTATCTTAGGTCCCCAGGGGCTTGGGAGGAAGCCCCTTAGATTTCTCTTACTACCAGGGTTTTCTATGGACATCTCTAAAGGCAGCTTCAAGACAATTTCCAGTTTAGAGAATCATATTTTATTTAGAGCCAGAAGGGAGTTCAGAAATTCATCTAGTCCACTCCTTCAGAGGTAGAAACTGAGGCCCCAAATGGAGAGTGACTTGCCCAAGGTCACACAGACAGTGAGTGGTAGACCTGGGTCTCCAACTCAGGTCTCTTCTGACTCCAAATCCAGAGTGCTTTCCACTGTCGCATACTGTCTCCTCAGTTCTCAGCTAAGTATATGAAACTTGTATTCAGAGCCAGAGCCCTCTGGGGAAAACTAGCCTCATGGCACCTGGCTGGACTTAAAGTCCTGAGACCTGTCCATAGAAACAACTCCAAGATTCCCTCTTATTTGGCTGTTCCTCCCCAAAAATCAGTTCTCTCTAGCAAAACTGAATCAAACTGCTGTTGGTAACTTCCAGGGGGTGAAAAAGCTTTGGTTATCTTTTAAACTAAAACTTAACATCTTGAGATAGACTTTTTTTTGGTTAAAAAAAAAAAACCCAAAAAACAAAAAAACAAAAACAAAAAAACAGCCCACCCAACCATTTTAAAGAATGCTTTCAAATTTTAACAAGACCATTAACTTTAGAGTTAATTTAAGTTTATTTGAGAGAGAAAACTATTTTATTGTCCACAAAAAAATGACAATTCATCACATTTACTTTGATTAAAAAAGGACTAAACTTTATTGACAAACTGCTGCAGACATTTTGACATAAGTCTTAGCTACCTATTTAGGCAGACTTACACATGTAGCATTTATAATCTTCAAGAACAAAATGGGAGGACAGTACAACTCCAATTAGGACTTTAGCTTATGTACAGAGTGGATTTTTTTTTCCTTTTTTTTTTTTTTTTCAGCTGCAGTGTCCCTTTTTATATAACGTTAGTGTTGAGACATACTTGAATGAATGCTTCCTTTGGGTTGGCTCAGTGTTGTTTTTTAAAACATGTACTTTTTCAGCCCCCAGCATCCCAAGGAGTATTGGTGGTTTTGCAGAAAGCAAACCTCAACCATATGCAATACTTTGCTTTCTGATTTGGAACACTGGATTTATTAGATGCAGTGATTTAAAATTTTTTTCTTAGCTAAAAAAAGCTTTGCATCAAATGAAATTCAGTCTGTCAGTCTCCCTCCCACCCACCCCATTTCAAAACCTACTCCTTAAGTATCTCTCAACACTGTATGTTTGGGGCTAGATTTCAAAACCCACATATGAAAAAGTCAATTTTACAAACCTAATTTTTTTTTGTTGGTTTTTTTTAAATCAATTAACTTAAAAAAAATACACCGACTATTTAATTCATGAGGATCTTTCATATTAAAAATTTAAACTTAGATTCAACCGCCATATGCTTTTAAGGAAATGTATTTGACATCTGAGCTTACTTTTAAACGGTGGCACCTACTACCGTTAATATTATGATTTTAAGTCTTAAAAACAGCCCTGAATTTTGAAATGTAGCCTAGTTTGGGAATCTGCAACTACAACTTTACGGGTTGCCTCAAACCAAACCTAAGAGTACGTTAACAAAGCTTTAACTTCAGAACCCTTAAGCAAGCAATGCCACTTTGGAAACTAACAGTTTTTTTTTTAACTCAACTTCTGTTTTTATTATAAAAGGTACAGTTGTGTTTATATTTAAACAACAAAGAAAGAAAAAGCATCTACACACTTTAAAAAAATTAATTCGATATTCCTAAATCTATTTTAACTAATTTTAAAATACTACATACAGAAGCCAGAATGCAGGGTGAGGATGGAGGAAGGGGGGAGAAAAAGGGAATCACGAAGAAAAACATTTAGACAATTACTTGTCTGTTGTGGGTAAAGCAACAGGAATCCTGGGAGATACAAGAAATCAGTAACAACTTTGCTCATAACTGATAATTTTCACTCATGTTTGTTTTAATAACGTCCATATGGGTGCTCTCTATATGACCCCTTCACTGGCCTAGCTGGAGGGGCCTTCAGGGAGGGCCTTGTCCCATTCCAGTCGTCTTGACCTGTTGGAAGGAAAGCAAGAACAACTGTAAGCCAACCTGGAGGGCAGCCTGCCAATGCTTGGGTGGCGAGAAGCTTACCTCATCCTGGGAACTCTGTACTACTGTCAATATTTTAGCTTCTCCCACTTTTTTCCCCAATGCCTCCAAAACACTTCCCTAAGGAACTGAGGCAAGTTCTCATGTTGGGACAGTTTCCAGGGAGTGTGTGCGCCAGAGCCCCATTCTTTACTCTCCTGGCTAGAAAAGCACAGGATACTTATAAGGCCACCACATAATCACTCACCTGTTTCCAGCACAATCCTTATCTTGCAAACAGCTATAGATATAAACAAATTCCGACAGCTACTGAATTGGGCATGGGTGGTGGGGGGATGGGAGAGGAGATGCTAGGGAGCTAGGGGCATATCCTAAAAGGGGAACAATATCTCTACTCCAGACAAGCCTGGAACTAACAAATAGCCATTAATCTGGGGAGGCATGCTCTCAGTGGACGTTGGCAGGCAGCATCACTAAGGTGACTGATCTTCTCTCTCTTCCAAGGTTAGAAGGCGATAGCCTCTCTTTCCCACAAGCTGGGCTGGATAGCAGGAATCAGCCCGTCTTCGTTTCTAGCCCCTGACAATATATTTTTTAAAGTTATCTTTAAATTTATTTAGTTTTTTATTTCCCAATTACATGTTAAAACAATTTTTTAACACTCGTTTTTAAAAATCTGAGTTTCAAATTCTCTCCCTCCCTCCTTGTCTCCCTCATTGAGAGGGCAAGCAACTTGATACAGGTTATACACATGTAGCCATGCAAAACCTATTTCCATATTAGCCTTTGACAGCAAGGATAGCACTGACTGCTGGAACTGGAGCAGAACTGCTGATCAGGCAGACAGCGTTTAAGCTAAATGCTCTGGTTGGTTATCAGCACCTTCCCTCAGGCAGGAGCCAAAAGATGTTGCTGCACCAGAAACGAAGGCCAAATTGTTTTCATTCATGATAAAGGAAACTATGATGGGCAACCATAGGCACCTAAGGAGATCCCGGCTCATGTGCACATAACTCAGCTAGCCAATGTTCAAACACATCTCACTCTCACCACAGACAAGGAGAGCTCTACAGTCCCTTTGAATAGCAACCACCCAGACCAGCACAACACGCACTCCAAACACGCTGAATGTGGCCTGCAAGGACCACAGCAAGACAATTTCTATTTCTACTTCTGTCTTTGTGAAAGCAGAGACCAAAGGAAATGAGAGTGGATAAACAGCTTAGCTGTGGTAGTATTACACAGGGAGTACAATGGAGCTGCCTGGCCTTCTCCAGCCTGGCATAACGTCTTATTGTCCCATCCAGCAGAAAAAACAATTTGATTAAATAGAAATCCCTCTCTGTGCTGTTTCACCAATGAAGGAAAACACATGAGTGCACAGACATTGCCCTCCTAACTGCTGGGCCATCCCAGACACCCAACATTGCTGATGGCAGCTGTCCAGCTTCACTTAGCTCTCAAACTAGTAAACGTGGCTTCCCACAAGCAGGCAGATGTTCAGCTTTGCACATCACATCATGCTGCCAGTCAGGGCAAGTGACCCAAGAGTTAGAAAGGGAAGACACTGTGAATCCCCTTTTAATGTTTCAGGAAGAGGAGCTGATGATCTCTGAGCTCCATGCTGAGGACTCCCTGAAATTCCCTCAGGTAGACCAAGAATACTTTCTTATATCTACCCCAGGAGGTTCCTTTGCAATACTATCACAGCAGAAGTCACTACACAGCACTCCCTCTAAAGCACATTAATTCTGAAACTTAATTGGGCAGTGAGGCCAATCTGGAAAAATGCCCATTTAGCCTAGGGTGGGATGTGGTGGGGGACGAAGGTGGGAGAAGGCAATGCTTCTGTTGGCTCAGAGATTTAAAAAAAAAAAAAAAAAAAAAAAGGATCAATCTTTCACAGGGCTAGCAGCTTGCTACCATTACAGGGGAAAGAATGGCTCCCTAGGACCTCTGGTAGCCTTCAAATACCACAGCCTCCTGGAATGCTAGCTAGAAGGGACTGCAAACCAGGCTAGTCCAATAGCCCTCACTTACTGGGGCCCAGTGGCAGAAAGTAATTTGCTCTAGGTCACACTTAGTAAAACAAATAGGACTAGGATCCCAGGCTGGAGAGTTCCCACTGAGTTTTTCTACTTTTTTTTTTTAAGCTGTAAAAAAGTAGAAACTTTCTCCTTTCACAGCACCAAGCTGTCCTCTTCTGTTCCAAAGTTCTACAAAATCCATACCCATTCATTTAGTAGGCTGCTTCTTGGCAGGCTTTCCCCATTACAGCTGGGCTCCCTGAATTAGGGTCCTATTTTTTTCCTTGTCTGTCCATTGATATAAAACAGATGAAAGGTCTTGCTACTTGAAACAATGGTAACCCCATCTAGCTACGACAGCAAGGTTTTGGAAATCTAACCAATTGAGACCCTTAAACCCTCTGAACCATCCTGTTAGCAGCTGCCCTGTATGCCCTGCTGCAAGAGGAAGCCAGCAGACAGCTAAGGAGCCTTTCAGTTTATCCACCACAAATATTCTGGCCACACCAGGGTAACACAGAAAGGACTTCTACAAAAAAGTATCAGGTGCACTTGCCATCTTCTTTATAAAACTCTATGTCCTTTCCTTCCCCTCCCTCTCCTTCAAATCCCAAGACCCGAATCTTAACAGACTACCTCTACTATCGTCTGGATGGATAACCTAGTAATCATGTTCTATCTGGCTTCCAGGTTAAGCCCTCAAGACAGTCTGATGGGCTCTCAATGTGTCCCCATGTCGAGTTAACCACCTGGCCTTCAGTCCCTGAGGCCCAGCCAGCAACAGCCAACACAGAGCAGACACCATTCAGCCCCCACTACATCTAGGACATACCATAAGCTTCATAAGAATCTTGTGCCTCTCCATGTCCATAGTCGTAATACTCAGAGTCCCTGTAAGATGAAGTCAAGCAATAAGTAAGGTAGCAAGGGAACACTGGCATTTCAGATCCATTTTCCACAGGTGGATAGTCAAGGTCCTAGGCAGAAACAACTCTGAAGTTCTATGGAAATAATGATTTTACGACCATAATAAAAAAATGAAACTTCTGATCCCTAAACCTAATGATTACTGTCACCTCCTACATATAAGATAAGAAACACTGGCAACAATCAGAAGATACCACATGCAACTCTGCAGTGAGCAATAAGGAAGGCAGGGTGGCTTTTAGTTTCAGCACTCAACAATGTTCCCAGTGGTTCAATTTCCTTTCCCTCTGAGCCTGAGAAGCATTTGGAGAATTACTCACTTACCCTTGGCCCTGGCTATAATAGCCTTCGTATCCTTCATAACTTTGCTCAGCATAGGTATCATCATATCCCTACAAGAGACACAGAAATCTCAAGTCAGATTGGAGTTAAGTATGGCAAGGTGTTTATCCTAAGGGGAACAGATGAGCGTCATCCTATCCAGGATGGGAAAAAGCCCAAAGAGGAGAAATATCAGCAATGAAGACAAAGTGCAGACACCTGCTACTAGAGCTGGGCCAACTGTCCGCATCCCAAGGCTAACTGTCACCGAATGGTTCCAGGTCTGCCTGTATGATCTCTGCTCCCCAGCCAGAGCTCCTCTAGCACTCCAGCATCTATGCCAACACTTAACCGGCCCTCCATTTATCTGGGAGGGACACATTATTTAAGTTTCTTACATAGTCTTCGTAAGTCTCTGGTGCTGGGGGTGGAGGAAGAGGTATTCTCTGGATGCCTGTGGCTCGGGCTCTTGGAGTAGGGGCTCCCCTTACTGCTGGAGGGGGAGGCACCCCACGGGCCACACTGGCACCTCTAGTGATGGCCCCTCTCACCGGAGCACCACGGACCAGGGCTCCTCGCGGAGGCCCAACACCACGGCCCCTGCAGAGAAGAAAGGAGAGTCAGTATCCCAGGGAGGAGGCTATACACAAGCATCCAAAATACATTACTTGGCTAGACGACGGCCCAGTTAGAATAGGCTCTGTTTCATAAAGTGTGGCTTTTAATGGGGCCTTTTACAAAAGAGGCCACCCTAGCACTCAAGCTTGTGTTTGCCAGTCCCGTATTTGGCCTTCTGCCATTGCCCTGAAATCTGACAGCTTCATTGGACTGAAAGCCCATTATGATGAACGGCTTTTTATTTGAAGGAACATAGTGTAGACATTTGCACTCGAGGAAGGACCTGCATCCAAAACCCCACAGACTGTTAGGCAAGTGTCCTAACCTGAGCACATCTGGACCAAGTCTGAGGGCAGACAAAAAGGCCTGCCACAAAGGCTGGGGCCTGTCAGAATTGCAGGGGCAACAGAGAACTTCAGATTCTTCCCACGAAGGTTCCTGCAGGATTAATGCCTGATCACCTCAATTCACCCCACCGACCAGGTCCCCAATACTGCTCTACAGAAACAGAACCTCAGCATGGGAAGGATCTTAGAGATCACCTTGCCTATCTCCCACCCAGGACATTCAGGAGTCCTTCTACAGCACCCCTGACAAGTGGTTGATTTGCCTCAACTGAAACACTCCCAATAACAGGAAACTCATTTCCTTCTGAGGCAGTCCACTTCAGGATTGCAGAATCCTATTAAAAAAGTTCTTCCTCACAATGAACTGAAGCCTGCCTCCCTGTGACATTGGCAAGCTGGCCTTACGTCTGCCCTCTGGAGCCACAAATGACAAGTCTGCTCCCTCTGACAATGCTCACGTCCCCTCTAAAGCTTCTCTGTGCCTGAGTAAACGTCCCCAGCTCCTCCAACCATTCCTCATATGACAATGGTTTCGAGTCCCCTCACCATCCTGGTCGCCCTCCTCTGGACACACTCCAGCTTTTCAATGTCCCTCTTAAAATGTGGCACCTAGAACCGGACACAATACTCCAGATGTGAACACAATACTCCAGATGCCCCAGACGCCCAAAGGGCAGCCTGAGGAGTGCCACAAAAAGACAAGTTTGGTGCTGGCAGGACACCCCTAATTAGCAGCAGCAGAGCTCACCTCCCACTTAAGGCTTTTCTCCCTAATATTTACCTTCTTAACAATTACCTGGGAACAGGTGGAGGTGGAGGAGCTGCTCCCCTTCCTCTTACTGGTACCCCACGCCCACGATTAGGCTCAGGCACACCATTCAGATAAGATAATTCAAGAAACTGTTCCTGGCAGATATCATCCATCATATCCTAAAAAGAAAAGGAAAGATATGACATTTCAAACTTCTACTAGAAGACGACAGAGGTCCTAAGTCTTAAGAGCTGGTAACATCTCCAAAATCCTACCTCAAACCATGATATCTGTCACTGACACCAATTTCCTATCAAAGCAAAAATGAATGCATGCTCTTTCCCCCAAAGAGCCCACAAACCTCAATAAAGCTGGAAAGGCACTAATCTTCTACTTTACCCTTCCCCTCCAACACACTCATATAGCTAGAGCTGCAGAGGCCAGACTAGCCTAGAATTTAGAACTGTTTATTCCCAGATATAGTTAAATGTTTCCAGAAGGAAAGATGCCCAAATGGCTCTCTTTTCTCCATGAGAGAGAACTGGCTCTGAGCCAGAAAAGCATTAAATGCTATTTGCCAATCCAAACTCCAAGCTGTCTTTTCATACATTTCTCCTGAACAGAACCATTCATTCTTAGTGTTTCATGCATTTTTATACCTCCCAAGTGGATACTCTTTTAGGAATGTGAACAGAATATTCTAGTAACTGGAAAAAAAAGTCTTTTTTTGGGGAGGGGTACAAGGACTATCCCCACTACTCCGTCTACCACACACAGGGGAATGAAGTCACCAGTGCCAGCCTGGTTGATGAGATTCCTCCAGGCAGCCACTGTAACAAAAAGTAATCGAGATTCCTCTGCCAGGCAGGTCTCTCCAAAGCCCAATTACACGCTAAGTTTCTTAATTTACCTCTGCTGAAAAGGGGGCTGGAGAGAGAAAACAGAAAGGGACCATGCATCTACTATCCACAGTTCTATCCAGCAACCGCAGCTGGAGATACAGCTACCCCAAAATGCTTTAACAAATTATCTCATGCAACAGAGAAAAATCTTGTTGAGTACAAAACATTACATTTTCTGTTACTTTAAACTGGACATTTCTTATGAAAATTACTAAGGAACACTCACTGCATTCATGGGATACACTGGCTATCTGAAAACCTAGAATGCTTTGAATTAAGGGTACTAATAGATTATAATTCTCCTTGTACCATGCTAAAATCCTCCAGTTCATCACCCTCCCCTCTTCACCTTTCCTAAGTTTAATATTTTGTAGCTGAAAAGTCTAACAAATTTCCTAACCCTTTATTATACCTTTTCAGAACTAAAGAGGTCCTCTAGAGATCCAATCCCCTGTCTTCAGACAGGAAAGGTGCTACTACCCCATTTTAGAGGTGAGGCAACTGGACAGAGATGAAGAGACTTATCGAGGATGACACATTTTGTTAGCGGCAAAAAGGGAACTAGAACCTAAAGGAATTGTTTTCCCAGCAATAGTAGTAATATTATAAGCAGAGCCCAGATATTTTTGGTTTACTCCTTGTATGGACTCCATTTTAAAGTAAATGGGTATATCCACATGAAACAAGGCAGGTTTTACTGGATGTGCCGCACCTTTCAATGGACTGCCAAAGAGCTACACTGACAGACTTATGTAAAATCTGTAGTGTAGCATCAGTGATAAGCTTGGTTGAAATATGAGCCACTGTTTTCTACTATATCCTAGTGAAAGAGAAGGGATTGGCCTGTATAGTAAAGCCTGGCCTGGTGCAGAAGTCTCCCCCACAGGAGCAGACAGCCACACTGAAGCCCTTTCTCTTCAAGCAGGGCTCTGCCCCAGGCCCCACAGCCCCTTGTTTTCTAAGGCCCTGTGATTCTCAGGGGTGGGACTTACCGGCACAAGGAACTTCTTGACTTCTTCCATAGCATGAGCCATAAGGGCATAAGCCTCACAGGGGGGACCAAAGACTTCAATGAACACATGTAGGTCCATGTTTAAGTGGGCATACTTTGGGTCTCCTCCTTTGCGTAGCTCTTCCTCCTGAGGGGATGGAAAGAGTGGTACATATGTGTACATACAGCATTTCCGCAACCTAAAAATCATTTGTACTCAGAAAAACTACAGGATGATGTTTCAAGGATCTTTGATTTCATCATTCCTTCCAACAAGACAGAATGGAATACTTTATTTAAATGTCCTCATGAACTGCTTTGGCCAAAAACATCTGTTAGCTAGTACCCAAACCTGGGTGGCTAAGCCTCTCCCCTAACACAATCAGACTGTTCTCAAAGCACACAAGACCGAGTCCACAGGTGGATCCTGTCTAACCTGGCAGGACCTCCAAAACTCATGAGTTCTTCTGGCATAACCTTTAGGAACTTAGAAGTCACCTCCTTACTATGAGACACTGGGGAAAGAAGATGAAAAGGAAATATTCAAAGAAAAAACCCGATCACACGAAGGGGAAACTAAAATTAGCTTTCATGAATAATTTCACATTAACATCTTATGCCCTAAAATAGAGCAGTTAAAGAGACTGAAAACATTTATGGGTAGTAAGGTACCTCTAGAGATTATCCAGCCCAGTCATTTTGCAGACCAGCAAGGCCTGGTAGGGCAGAGGGGACAATCCTGCTTACCATTCTATAGGCACTCTGTATTGGAACCCAGCTCTCCTGCTCCAAATTCAGTGCTCATTGTACTATGTCACATTTGCCCTTAACAGTGATCACAGCACTGTCCCATACCTTATCACTAGTCATATTGATAGGGCATTGAGAAAAAGACAAGTTACAGTCTCTGGAAGGAAAAAGAACATCTGTTTTAATTTTAGCTGAGAACTAATCACTCCTAGCTTAGCCTCTGGAGATTTATGAGGTTTGAACTATTTTTTGTTTGGTTTCTTTTTTTTTTTAAAGGGGATGAAGTATTAAGATACTGGACAGGCTTGTGGAGATCATCTGGGGCAATGTCCCCATTGTATGGAGGAGGGAACTGAGGCTCACTAAGAAGAGTCTTGCCCAAGATCACAGAGTAAAAAAAGAGCTGTAGGGGCAGCTAGGTGGCGCAGTGGATAGAGCACCAGACCTGAAATCAGGAGTATCTGAGTTCAAATCCGGCCTCAGACCAAAGCACTTGACATGTACTAGCTGTGTGACCTTGGGCAAGTCACTTAACCCCAACTGCCTCACTAAAAAAAAAAAAGAGCTGTAATTCTAACACAAGTCTGATGACTCCAAATCTAATGTCTTTCTACTGTACCATTATGCCTTCTTCATCATTAAGAAGTAGTTGCATTTGGGATAAATTCAAAGAAATGTAGGCAGATATGTCTCGAGTGATGCAGAGTTAAGTGAGCCGAACCAGGAGAACAATTGATACAATGACTTAATACTTCATTGTTAAGAAAAACAGCTTTGAATAAATTAAAAACTCAGATCAATGCAATGACCTCAACAATCATAACTCCAGAGAACCAAGGACACAAAATATGTTTCCCAACCTCTTGAAGAGAGACACAAAAAATCATGCCTTAACGTGTAGTTCTGTTTCGCTGGAAGATAACTTAGGGCCTAGGGTTTTTTGTTTTTTTTCTTGGGGGGTGGGAATCGAGAGGGAACCTGCTGTTTGTCAAATTCAAAATAACAAAAACAGGAGGCAGCTAGGTGGGCAGTGGATAGAGCACTGGCCCTGGACTCAGGAGGACCTGAGTTGAGATCTGGCCTCAGACACTTAACACTTACTAGCTGTGTGACCCTGGGCAAGTCACTTAGCCCCACTGCTTAGCAAAAAACAAAAACAAAAAGCAAAACAAACAAAAAAAACCAAAGAACAAAAACGAAAAGAAATTCTCAAATTAACACAGGAAAGAAGCAAGTTCCCCAAAGAACAAAGTTTCCCAATCCCTTCCAAATATCTTTCAATCATACACAGCATGTCATCCTAACTGGCCACCGTCACATGATCTTCAAGCACACAGAACAGAAATAACTAAAAGCACTGACGAGGCTGCTGTCAGCTCCTACTTTTCTGATTGTCAAGAGAGAGGTGACATTTCTCTTATTTCACAGCCTCCCTTGTGTTTGAACCTAAGCAAGCTTTGGCGCTTCTGAGCTGTTGCTGAGACACTCTCTGCCACGCCCAAGTCCTGTTCAGTAATGGAAAGAAGCAAAGTTAAAACAGGAAGAGCTCAAATGTCTCTGTGGTTTGCCAGGGCTGCCAATGAATGTGTAAACTGAGTCAACAAGGGCTTGTCCCTGACTCTTGAAGACATCACGCTGTACAGGAAAGCTCAATATATTCACTCCCAAAGACACAAGTTTCCAAGTTGTTCAAACAATTCTCCAGCCTTTTTTTCAGTCTTCTGCCCTTATTTACCTTTGCTTTGTCTCTCATGGAACCTTTTCCTAATACTGATATTTTGGCCCCAGTTTCCTCTTGCAGTCTTTTGATCGTGTTCCCTTGAGGTCCCAGGATCTTCCCCACGAAATTAAACTAACAGGGAATGAAAGAACAACAATTAGATGCAATTACTTACTGTTTGTATTCAATTTTTTTACATGTTCTCACAATAAGACAGATGTTTGTGTACCCACCAGTAACAGGGACCCAGTTTAATCCCATCTTATTTCAATATTTCAAGGATCTCCATAAAAATGGGAAAAGGACCCATATGTACAAAAATATTTATAGCAGCTCTTTTTGTTGTGGCATAGAATTGGAAATTGAGAGGATACCCATCAATTGGGAAATGGCTGAACAAGCTGTGGTATATGAATGTAATGGAATACTACTGTGCTATAAGAAACGATGAACAGGCTGACCTCAGAAAAAGCTGGAAAGACGTGAACTGATGCCGAGTGAAGTGAGCAGAACCAGGAGAATATTGTACACACTAACAGCCACAATGTACAACTAATTTTGACTAGAAGAGACTAACATCTCTTCTTAGCAAATACAAGGATCCAAGACTCATGATGGAAAATGCTATCCACACCCAGAAAAAGAACTATGGAGTCTGAATACAGATCGAAGCATATTTGCTCGCTCTCTCTCTTTTTTTTATTTCTTTTTTCTCATGGTTTTCCCCTTTGGTTTAAATTCTTTACAACATGACTAATGTGAAAATATGTTTAATATGAATGTATATATAGAGCCTATTACCAAACTGCTCCCTGTCTTAGGGAGGGGGAGAAAATTTAAAACTCAAAATCTTATGGAAGTGAATGTTGAAAACTAAAAATAAATAAATTTAAAGGGGAAAAAAGATATTTCAAGATCTCTTATTTTCGACAGCATAGCTGCCCTTCCTACAATCTTCTTCCATTGGTCCCCCACCCTCACTCAGCCAGCCTCTCTAATGTCACTAAGCCTTGCCCCATGGCACATTTATGTCACTGGGCCCCTGCACTAGTGGCTCTCCCAGTTTGAGATGACCTTCTCAGAGCTTTCATTTCCCTAACATAGTTTTTGAGAACCTAAAGTCACTTCCATGTCACAATGAAGCTTTAGATTAGAATTTCAGTAGTGGTATTCTATTTAAAGTTATACATTTGATGGAATTAGTAGCTAACAAAAGAATTACGCAATCACAAACATTACCCTATTTAAAAAACTGTAATGTACTCTGCACAAACATGCTTTTGGTAGAAAAGAAACTAAAGCATTTTTGAAACGCCCTTTTCAGAAGAGTTAACTTGATTTTGCTATGAATTCAGGCTAACGTACTACTACTTAGCTTATTTAAGCCTTAATAGCTAATTTAGCCTTAACAAAGGCAAGTCTTTTGATGGTGAACAGTTTTAGTTCTTCAGTGTCAGTTTATTTTTACAGGTGGAACTCAAAGACAAAAAAGAAATAATTCCCTAACAACAAATAAAAAACATGACACCACCTCCCTTCTTCACTATCTCAGAAAGGCCAAGAAATGAAGTACCAAATATTCTAAGTTTTAATAAAACTATCTTAGTGCAGAAACAAGCTTCTTGACTATCATGAAACAATCCCCCCAAAATAATTATTCATTTAGTGACTGGGTGACCCCTCTGCCTTACCTTGGGATACTGTTTTACTGGTATCAGGACTCGTTCCTTCAGTTTCATGTTCCTGTGAGAAAATAAATCCAGGTAGTTCTCCTCATCATCTTTCTTTGATTCACCCTTCTGAATCTTCTCGATTTCTAAATAGAATAAACAGTCATTTTATTTTTGAAAGGAAAATTCCCTCAGTGTCTTCAGAGTTATGACTTTGAATCCTGTGGGAAGATAATCAAGGAGCTGAAAGCAACGTACTTGTTGAAAGCACTTACACCAACAGCTCAATCAGAAGTAGAGACAGTCCTGCCTGGTATCCTCCCTAGCAGAAAAAAGTCTCTAATCAGATTTCCCAAGAGATACTGATCCTCCAGAAAAGAGGGAGAGAACTCTGTATTTGATGTCAGAATTCACATGCGGTTGGTATGATTGGAGAAACAAATCAATTCTCTAAATAGAAACTTTCTGCTTCTCAATGACTCACTCCTTAAACCATGTGGGGAAGTTAATGAAGTTTAAAATTTCCAATGAGACTCAACAGACTTAAATCTGTTCTCCATAAGACTGTTTAGTACCATTCTCTCTACCCTCCAAAGACAACCTCCTGTTGCCATCTAATCCAAACTAAATGCTCAAAGGAAAGAAAGTTTCTCAACATTTTAGTTGAATTGGTTAAGGTGGCTATTTTAGACTTTATCAGAAAGGGCTTTTTGCACAAAGTTGCCAGTCATTATTTAAGAGTAACAGCTTAAACAGTAAAATGGTTAAGGACAGCCCAAGAGGCACTCTCAATCCCTTCATTTATTCACTCAGGGAGGGGCCCAGTAGCCTCCCCAGTTAGCACAGGGCCTCCCACAGAGGGAACACTCATTGCTTTATCTAAGGACTGCTTTATCCAAGGACTGCTTTATCCAATCTCTTATGTGGCTGACAACTGGCCCGGTTCCAATTCCATACCTCACACACACCAGCATGGCATGACCAAAAATTAGAGATTCCAATCTGTGGAAGGAGTCTCCACACAAGCACTCATAAAAAACATAGGTTTGAATCCAACTCCCACCAAAATAATCTCATTACATTTCTTTCTGTATTAAGTACCAAGTTTCCCATCACCATTTATAAATCCCTGCACTTCGAAGTTTTATAACCACCATTTAATCAAGTCGAAACCAACTGTGAATAGAAGTGCAATTCTGTTCAGTGACCAGGAAGGGAAAAAGTTAATTCTACTCTAAGTTTCTGATCTCTTTCCAAAAATATACCTTTATGAAGCATCAGTACTTGAAGGCTCCCTTTTATACCAAAGCAGCATCTCCAAAAACTTTATAGTGGGCCAAATGTGCTTAGCTTGTTTCCGGATGCTAATCACATTGGACCTTTTCTTCCTTTAATACAGGCTAGGATATTCAGAGCCATTCAAACTCAAATTACATATATTTGAGTACCTCTATGAAAAACTGTCCCTTACTTTTCAGATGAAACTATTCTGCATTCAATTTCTACTGTAATTACTAGATGCTCACAGGCAGCTTATTAACTACCATTTAAAAAAAGCTTGTTCCCATGTATCATTTCCCTCCTACCCCCATTCTCCCATCACAATACTCCTACAGCTTCAGGAGCTGTAGGGGGCCCTTCTCATCTTCATTATAATTGTAGCTTTAAATAGATAGAATGTATAAACTTGTAGGAATGAAGAACAGTTGATCTTCAGATCACCTCACTCCATGCCCTTTCCTCTGTTGATTTCTGGTTCTTTCACAGCTCATCAGGACACCAACCAGAAGTCTCATGTAAGGGGGCCTCAAGTAGGAACACTGACAAAAAAGGAGGCAAAACTCCCAATCTGACTGTTTTTAGGCTGGTTGAATTACAGGATTTGAACCCAGGAAGGATAGGGTTATATTTGATTTCATTTACCTTTCTAATTCATCCCAGTACCAGGGAAAAAAAAAAAAGAGTCCTTCTACTATATTCTGCATCAGTAGACTTTAGAGTTATCATGACTAGTTTTGGTTACTAATTTTTAGAAAGGTTGTGGAGAAATGGGAGGGGCTTCAGAGAAAAAGATGTTTAAAAGGATGAAAAACAGATGTCTCAAAAGACATCAAGTTTGAGCAACTAGAGCTGTTTAACCTACAGAACAGAAAATTAAAAGGTGATCTGCTCACTATCAACCTATATTAAGGGCTTTTATGAAAAGCACATTCATCTATTGTTCTCCATATATGGAAGAGCAAATGAAAAAAGCTTAAATTTAAATGAGAAATTTGAATTTGACAGAAAGAAGGGAATGATGGAATTATCAATCCACTGGATTTTTCCGGAAGAAAGACAGTCCATCTGACTGGATAGTTCCCCTTCCCCTGATGAAAATCTCCAGCTGAATCGGATCCTCTTCTTGACACAGCTTTCCTTCAAGAAGGAATGGGTTATAATAGTGTGATAAATACCTAAGGAAAGGATTAGTCAACTGCAACTAAGAATGACTTTCCCCATGGCAAATGTGCTTTATATATTGTCTCTTGAAGCAATTTCTAACTGACTTTGCTTTCATGGACCAAAAGAAATTCAGTGGAGGTATAAAGCGAGAGGCAACCTATCATTTCCTACAGTAAAATAGTATGTATGAGGTATGATCTTCTACACTGCTACCACAAGAAACCCAAGAATGAATTACTGAGAAAATGCCTCACTTTGCAATGTTGGAAATATTGACTAGCCGTCAGACAGTTGATTCACTGAATAGTTTTGCTTTCCTGCCTTCCTGTTACAAGGGATGGCTTCGATAGAAGATATATTCAGAAGTGTAGGTGATAAATAAAAACATGCTAAGGATAAAAAATAAGAAAAAATGCATTACTCCACCGAAATTGTACCTTGTAACCATAGAATCACAGCAGAACACTTGGAATTTGGCTTTTTCTCATACATCATATCACCTGAGACTAGGATACTCTGCCCTGCCTCCTCCACCTATCCAATTCTTCAAACTCAAACCCTATTTCTATTTAAACTTTTCTTGATTACCCCCAATCTAAAGTAAAATACTGTCTCCCTCTTCAGAATGCCTACTACACAACTTCCTGGAAAATTCCATAAAAGTTCAGGTCACTGGCTCTGCCCAATGAAATATTTTCCAAGAATGTCTTACTTATAACCCTTCTGTTGACAAGAATTAGCCTGGCAAAGTGGTCAAAGAGCATGTCTCTGAGTTAGGAAGACCCCTGGGTTCAAGTACTCTCTGTCAAGGGCAAGTCACTTAACGTTGAAGAGGCTGGTACTGGACTGCATTAGTAAAGGGAGTTCTCTATACCAATGAAATCATAGATCCCCCAAAACAAGGTGGAGTTTCTTCTACTGTTATTTTGAACTGTTGATGACAATTTCAGTTGCTTAACTTTCCATATCTGTTATGCCTCCTTTCTTCTACTTGATAAACTTCTTATAGAAAGCATATAGGTAGCTGATACTCCCCATAGCACATACAGCAGATGCTCAGTTATTATTTGTTCAAATTTCTTGCACTCAAAGATGACAAGGTCAGCTTTCTCACTAGCTTGGTAATAAAGTCAGAAAGTTAGTACTTTCAAGTCAAGATAAAATAGAATATCTTGCTTATACTGGAATGTAAATGCCAAAATTGAATCTTGAGAATCATAGGCAGTCATGCAAAGTAACAGTCCCAGAACTCAAAAGTAGGTTGCAAGCCAATTAAAAAGTAATTTTAAATGAAAATTTAAACATACCCAGCTCTGCCTCCCACCCTATTAACATCCTACTTCAGTCTGCCAAAGCTGTCATATTTGTTAAGATGCAAGCTAAGAATAAAAGAAAAATATTTAAAAATAGGAGAGGTTAAAAATATATGCAACGGCCACACACTTATTTACAGAGCTGGCTTAATTCTGATGTAATCAACAGTATTTCTTTAATCTAAAAATTTATGGTAGTTGTCATAAGGGACCAGGCCAATAATAGATTCATCATATTATTCTCTGATAACATCCAGAGATCTTTGGCAAGACTGCCTTTCACAATATTAAATGAAAAAAGGTTAAGGTGGATTACCAACACCTTCTAATTCCCTTATAACCCATTCTGAATCAACCATTCAGGGACTTATTCAATCCTTTCTTCCTAATCAGTATTTTTAATCTGTATTACTTCTTTTGACAAGTCCTGTTACATAAAAGTAACATCATGCCTTATTTTATTGACCCTAAAATGGCCCCTTTTAATTTTCAAGGGATTCTCTCACTTTTTTCCTATTTTGCAATTTGGTTGACAAGTCTGTTTACCTTTTCCACATCCTTCATTGTACAGTCTGTGCCCACAGCCCTCTCAACCTTGGATTTTTCACGTAAGAGTCCGAAATCTTATCTCTAATGTTCTTTTAATTCATTTCCATTGTCCTCCAGACATTTTTCTAGTAGTTACGTCTTCCTTGAAGTTCAGTGACCAGAACTGCATACATTCCAAGTGTGGACACATGAACCATTATTTTCTAAAGGGTCAGGAAAGGCTTTGCTGTTTTCATTTTTGTTTCTAATCATTTCCAGATGATACCCAGTATTTTGTAAATCTTTTCACTTTTTTTTTTGTTTTTGGCTAGGCAATGGGGTTAAGTGACTTGCCCAGGGTCACACTGCTAGTGTCAAGTGGCTGGTCTAAAACTGGATTTGAACTCAGGTCCTCCTGACTCCAGGGCCGGTGCTCTATCCACTGTGTCACCTAGCTGCCCCAAATCTTTTCACTGTTAAGGCACTCTACTAGACACTCCATTCCTAGATTCTTCTCTTAGGTCAGTCAAGAACTTACAGCTCACCTTGTAAATAGAATATGAATTATTTTTTCCCTCAATATATTCTTAATATATTCCCTTAGTATATTCACACACTCATTTGCCACTATATTGCCCACTCATACAGGCTTAGAGAGCTTCCTGGGGTTTATTTTATATTTGAAATTCTGAATGAACTTTTACAATTCATTCATAAATATTTTAACAAAAAATATCCCAACTCAGAACTACAATATAGCTCTTAAAAATGTCCATTTATCCTTGCCATTTGATTTTCCTAACAATAATATTTCTCTAACCCAATCCCTACATTAGGGGTTCTTAATGTGGGATGCATGCAATGGTTTCTTAAAAATATTTTTGAGAAAAGTATTTCAATATAATTGGTTTCTTTTGTACTCTTTCAGTATTTTACTTTATGCATTTAAAAGCATTATTCTAAAGAGTACACAGGCTACACAAGATGGACTAAGGGTCCATGATATGAAAAAGGTTAAGAATCTAGGCTGTTACACTTTACCAGTTCAGTAAAATTAACTAAAGGAAAAACCAAAACTTAACAAATGAAAAGGTTTTCCTAAAGTTTCTCTTGGAAGGAAACAAAAGGTAAACCAAAAAGGGGGGAAAAAAACTCAAGCATTTGAGGATTAATACATTCAGGTGGTTACTCCTAGAAACCTTTCATTTAAAACTCATGTCACATAGATTTATCTACTGGGAACTTGGGATAGTCATAAAGGGACAGAAAGACCTGGCAACCTTATGATTTCTTACCCTGTTTGGTCCTACAAATTAAGGAGTTACGTGTGGGGTTATAAGTTCTAAACATAGAGCCATTACTATTAATGCACTAAAAAAGTACAATATAGGCCATTTTTGATGCATTTCATCTAGATCTGTTTTTAGATGCTTTTGGAAACATAAGTTCCCAGACTATTTAGCAGCTGATGAGAAATGCTAGCAGAAACTACTAGACAGTTAAAAAGCAAATGAGGAGCTACTCAATGGCAATATAAAGACTAATAATTAGATCCATCTTTCAGAAAAAAAAATCACTTTTTTTTGAAAACAGGTCAGATTTTACACATCACTTCCTGTAATTTCCAAAAAATATTTACATATCAAAAGAGGGTGCTTAATGAAAAGCAAATTATGTCACTTTGGTGCCACCACACTAAGCCAATCTGACACTTAAGTCACTTAACACAGTAAACCTCAATCTAAAAAGTGAACACCCCCTCTCCCATGCAGGTTTCCAAAAGAACTGAATTACACCACACAACCCAGAATTAACTGTGGGCAATGCTAAACACAACATTAGAGCTAAAAATGTTTCTCATTACAACAAATGAGACATAAACTTGACTGATTTGGATGCTGACAATCACAGGTTTTGTTTGTTTGTTTGTTTGTTTTTTTAAGTCGGGACCGCTTTCAAGATAGAGAACAAAGAAATGCAAATCACTTCTTTTCCAAGTCTCCTTTTGATGCTTAAGGTTGCCAAATAAACTAACGTTCCCAGCCCTTTGAAGTTTCAGGATTTTAATGTATTCAATAAATCTACTTATCATAAGAAACGCTTATTAAAAGAATACCACAACTAGAAGCTAATACAAAGCAGATGGGTTGTGGTGATACTGAGAAATCAGAGCTACCAGGTGATTGGACAGTGCTGATCAGGGAAAGGACAGTGTTTAGTATACACAGAACAAAGACTGGCATTTCCATTCTCTAATCAGTTCTCCAACCAGAAAAAAACACACACAACGACCACACGCTTCTCCAGCGAGAAGCTGGTAAGCAACTTCTCTCCATCCCGTTTCCTCTAGGAAAAAGGAATACAGAACGCCTAGCGCCCCTCCCCCGCCCTTTCCATCCCCAAGGGGCTGTCGCCGTTCACAGATTCTCGAGTGGAGAACAAGACGATCCCACGCCGTTAAACCACTGGGGGGAGGAGGGGGAGGTGCTGCGCAGCCGAAGGAAGCAGCCCAGGCTCCTTTGCCCCCAGGCAGCCTCCGGCTCCAAAGCCCACGCGAGGGTCAGCAAGAGGCCGGGGCTCCAGGCGCAGCCCCCGGCCCACAGGCGCCCCCGGCCGGCCCTCGCCTCGCCCCGCCCCCTGCCCCTCCCACTTCACACTGCCTCGTCCCCTCGGGCCAGGGCCCACACGCCGCAGGCGCCTCGGGAGCCTTCGGTCAGTCAGTCAAAAAGCACCGCGTTAGCGCTTTCGAGGGGCCGGGCATCGGCTCCGGCCGGAGACCCTCTTAGTGGCACAAAGGCAGGAGCCCGGGCTCAGAAGGGACTTTCTTCGCCCCGCCCCTCACTTTAGTGACGGGGAAACCGAGGCCCTCAGGCATCTTGTTCACCTCCACCCCTCGTTTAACAGGGGGAAACTGAGGTCTCGCCTTCCCTTTTCAGCCCCGTGACCTAATGGTGACATTTTCACAGGGCCACCCCTCCCACAGGGGTTCGTAGCCCGAGGGGGCACTCCAGGAACACAGCGGCAGGTCTCTCCGCCGTGGCCACCCGGGCCCTTTCCGTTACAGCCGCGGGAAGCCGGAGGGTGGGCACCAAACCTCCCTCCCCGACTTGGGCCCAGGCCCCCTCCCGGCTCGCCGCCACGGGGGACCGGCTCACCTGCGGCCAGCAGCTGCATGGCGTGGGTGAAAGATGGGTCGAGGGAGTCCTTCTCTGCCATGAGCTCAGGCAGGTACTTGTTCTCGGGCTCCATCTTGGCGGCGGCCGTGGCGGAGGGCGGCAGCAGCGGGGTCGGGGCCGGCGCCGGGCCGCCCCCGCCCACCTCGGGGCCCCCGCCAGTGGCTGAGGGCGGCAGCAGCGGCGGCGGCTGCGTGCCCGGCGCGGCCCGAGAGCCTCCGCCGCCGCCCCGAGGGCCTCCGCCGCCGCCCCGGGGCCGGTGAGAGGGCAGCGGCTGCCGGGACGGCGCCTGGCGCGGCGGCGGGTGGGCGCCTGAGGGATCCACGGCGCCGCCGCGGCCCAGGGGCCGGCACAGCCGCGCGACGGGGTCGTCCCGGCGCTGCATGAGTGCGGAGCGGGCGGGAGGACGGCTGAGGGACGGAGCGCGGCGGCGGCGGAGGCCCGCGCAACGGCAGCGGTTGACGGAGGCGGGAGAGCTGGCACGAAGGCGACCTGAGCGGACCAGAGCAACCCAGCGAGAGAGCAACCCAACGAGAGAGCGAAAGAGATCACCGGAAGTGAGCGACTGCGCACGCGCGGCCCGCCACCGGCGCCGCCCTTCTCCCAGAGCCGAGAACAAAGTCCCCGACTCTGCCACGGCGCTTGCGCACCACCTTCGGCGCGCACCTTGTTAAGTTCCCGCCCCTCACGTCGACAGCCTCCACAGACTAGCCGGTGGAGGAGGAGCGCTCGTGGAGGCTGCTTAAGGCCAGTACGCAAGCGCTAGCCCTCCCTCGCTCCCTGTAACACGTGACCAGGTTGTAGCGCGGACACGAGTCTCCACCCCCTGTGGGCGGGCGGCGGGCTGGGGCGGGGGCCGTGGAATGTCTTTGTCTGAACGCTGGCCCGCGGGCTCGGGGAGAGCTTGATTCGCTCCAGCTTGGAGCCCCGCCTCTTTCTAACAGTCCCGGGGGAAGGGACTGTGGAAGGTAGAGAAGTGCCTAAGGAAGAGGGGGAAATTAAGGCCCTGCGGGGGGTGGAGGGGGGAGGGGAAGAGATTAAGGGAGGAAGTTGAAAGGCTTTGGAGGGAAAGGAGGGACGGAGTGTGGAATGAGACTTTGGGAGAAGGTGAGGGGGACGTAACCGGCTCCCTCCTAGCCTAGGCTAGCTGGCCGGAGCCCTGGCTGGCCGCAGCCCTAGCTGGCCGCTCTTGCTCAGGCTCAGCAAGTCAAGTTAATAAACAACTATTAAGCGCCTACTATGTGGCAGGCACGGGGCGGGGGGGAGGATAAAAGAAGGGCAAAGACTCAGTCTTTGACAGGAGACGGAAGTGAGCAGGGATAAACCCTTCCCCCCAGCTCCTGCACGAACCCAGAGAAAGGGGCTTTCCCAGAGGTGGTGGTGAAGCCAGGGGAATCACTGGGATTGTTTTTCCTACTTCATCTGCCTCGAATTACAGGTAACCCCAAAACCATCACTCCAGCTTTAACCCAACCCCGTGAATAACAAGAAGGTCCTTAGTCTTATGGAGCAGCGGCAGAGGTGGCCTCAGGGTCCCTGGTGGCCCAGGGACTTCATGAAGGAAAGCTGTAGTCATCCTCTGGCTGGAGCTCATGGACTTTGCAGTATTTGGGGAGTGACAACACGGGGCGGGGGGAGAAGCAAATACCATCCAATGTTTAGCGTCTGTTACGTGTACGTGCAATTAAACAAATACTAAGAGGCCAGAATTTGGAATCCTTGGACCTGGTTTTGAATCTTGACTTTGCCCTTAAGAACTTAGACAAATCAAGTGTATCCTCATCTACAAAATAAAGGGGTTGGACTAAATAATCCTTAAAGTGACTTTCACCTGTCATTCCTTTCACCAGTAAATCCTTTAAATGCTGCAAGATTGCTGTTATAGCCATCCTCAGACTTCTTTTTTCCAGACTAAAAAATCCCCTAGTTTCTACAACTGATCCACATATTTAGTGGTCCTCTATCATCGTGGTTGCATCCTCAGGATGTGTCCAATTTAGCAATACCCATTTATTAGCTAGAATGGGGCATCCAGAACTGAACACAGTCCTCTAGAGAGATACACCCTGACAAGACCAATTACAGAGGTGCTATTGCCTCCGTAGTTCTGGGCACTGTACTTATGTTATTGGAGCCTGAGATCACATTAAGCATTCTTGGATGGAATATCATCGCTTTGTTAACTCGTATTGAGCTTTCAATCCACTAAAACTCCCAAATCTTTTTGAAAAAGTCTTATCTATCTGATAGACTGTCTAACCAAGACTTCTTCCAAATTGTTTTTGTGAGGTTGATTTTTTGGGGCCCAGATCTGTAACTTTATTCCCATTAAATTTCATTTTATAAGATGAGGCCCAGTGTTTGGTGGTGGGTTTTTTTTTTTTAATGATAACTGGGTTTTAATGTAAACAGGTGCTGGAATTCATATCCATTTCAGGAAGTTTCTTCTCAGAATATCTTTTTTAATCCAGTCATTGAGTGTCTTCACTACCCCTCCCAGTTTTCTGTTAATCTGCACATTTGTAAAGTGTATCAGCTGTGCCTTTGTCTTAGTCTTGGGTAAAAATGTTAAACAGCAGAGGGCTAAGCCCAGAATTCTTCAGGCGGGTACTGCAGACCTTCTAAATAAATTGACATTAACCCATTAATGACTGCTCCTTTGTCTAGCCAACAGGCACTGGATCTATACAATTGTACTATTATCTAGTCAGTATTTTATTTTGTTTCACAGAATGCCATAAGACATCCAGTGTTCTGCTAAAATCTAGCTATCTTGTCCACAACATTCCCCCAATCTACCAGTCTAGTTAATCTGTCAAGGAAAAGAAAGAAAGCAAGTAAAGTTAGATTGGCGTGACCTGTTCTTGATGAAGCCACGTTTTTGACTCTTCATGATCATTGCTTCCTTTTTCTAGATATTCATGAGCCATCCGTTTAATATGTTCTGGAATTTTGCCAGGAAATGAAATCAAGGTCACTGACCTATAGTTTCTAAACTGTACATTTCTTCCCTTTTTTGAAAATCAGTAAAACATTTGCAAATCTCCAGTTCCCCTGCAAGTTTCCCATTCTTCATAATCTTTCAGAGATCACAGAATGGCTAGACAATCACATGAATCAGTTGTTTGAGTGCCCTAGGATACATCCCGGTTTAGTGACTTACACCTATCAAAGGCAGCTGAGTACTTTCTTACAATCTCTTTACTTATCTTGGGTATCAACTCATTATTACCCTAAAAGGAGTCATTATTATCCACATGGACAAGATGATGTTGACAGCAGAGAGAAAGAAAAATAACTCAGTTCAGATTTTGCTTCTTTTTTTGCTCTGAGAAAGACAAAGATCTGATGGGAAAGGTCAGAACAAAAATGGCCACTAGAATTGATGCCCAAGATAAAGCAGAGAGATGATCAGAGAATACCTTGTTGTCCTTGATGGATTCATATTACCGGGCTCAGAAAAACTTAACTGTAGGGTAATGAAAATTCTAAAAGATATGATTGTTGATCTTTGAAAGTCCCTCAGGCTATATTAAGATAGACATAGTATCCAGTACTAGAGGAGTGATGGTCCCACTGTACTCTAACCTAATCAATCGTCGTCTAGAGGATTGTGTTCTATTTTACAAAGGGTATTGATAAACTAGAGAGCATACAGAGAAGAGCAAAAAGGATAGTAAAGATTTAGGGGATACATGACAGCCACCTTCCAGTATTTTGAGGACTATCCTATGAAATTAAACTTTTTTTCCTGCTTGCCCCCAAAGGGCAGAACTAATTATAATAGTTGACATTTATATTAGTGCCTTGTCTTTAAATTGTATCATTTTATCCTCACAATAACCTTGGGAAGCGCCATCATTATGCTTATTTTATAAACGAGGAAACTGAGGCAGGCAGAGGGTAAAGGATTTGCCCAGGGTCACATAGTAAGTGTTGGAGGCCAAACTAGAACTCAGGGGTCTTCCTGACTCCAAGTTTAGTCGAATAACCAGCAACGCTCTAATCACTGAGCCCATCTCTAGGAGTAATGGATGGAGTTGCAAAGGAAAAGTTGGGCTCAATATCAGGGACAAACCTCCTGACGGTCTCCACTATCCCAAAGTGGAATGGGCTGCCTTGAGAGGAAATGGGCTCCTCACCGGTGGTCTCCAGGTAAAGGCTCTATAGCTGCTTGTTAGGTATGTTGTAAAGAAGATTCTTTTTTAAAAATTTTTTAAATTAATTTATTTTGATTTATCAACAATTACTTCCATAAGCTTTTGGGTTTTAAATTTTTCTCCCCCCTCCCTCCCCTAGACAGCACGAAATCTTATATGGGCTATACATATACATTCCTATTAAACATATTTTCACATTGGTGATGTTGTAAGTAAGAATTAGAACCAATAGGAGGAACCACCAGAAAGAGGAAACAAAACACAACAGAAGAAAAAAAAAAAGCAAGTAGTATGCTTTGATCTGCATTCAAAATCCATAGTTCTTTCTTTGTATGTGGATATCATTTTCCATTATGAGGCTTTTGGAGACGTCTCAGATCCTTGCATTGCTGAGAAGGTCTAAGTCTATCAATATTAGTCATCTCACATTATGGCTGTTACTGTGTATGACAGCACATCAGGAAGGTGATGCCAAGACTTGTCAGTGCATTGGATTTAAGTGAGGTAGGGCTGTGCAAGGTCATCAGCCTCACTTTCTCCTCAGGAGCCATCTAGGTCTAATGGCAAGACATACATTAGGACAACTGGAGATGGCCCTGGACGAAATGGGAGACCTTGACCTTTTTAAGTTAAGGTCTTTCCAAGTTCTCACTTTGACTGAGGCAACTCCCATTCAGTGATTAAGGCTAGAGCCAAGGAATGGCCTCTTTTACCTAATTTAAAAAAAAAAATCAATCTGGGGGGACCCTCAGGGTTTCTGATCAAAACAGAAAAAATTACTATTTACATTCACTCTGAACCATCAGGCCCAAACGATGACCATTAATTGGGGTTTGGGCTGGCACTTATTGTTGGCCAATCAATGAGAGCCAGAGTGAATTGGGTTTAAGGCATGGTCTTTAAGAAAGGTAAACCGAGAGATATCTTGCTAGGTTTCAGCCATCAAAATTTACATTGCTTTGGGCATAGTACCTGCAGGTAAGGGTATGATACCCTATGTGGACAGAGGGAGAGGAAGGAGGGAAGGGAAGAAAGGAGCTGCCTTGCCCAGCTGGAACTGGCCAATTGGGTCCCCAGTGGGGCAGCTAGAACTGCTCACAAATTGTTGTTTGTTTGTCCTTTATTCTAGAAGAGGACCATGACATCAGGAAGGCGATGCCATGACTTGCAAGTAAAATGGATGTAAGTGAGGGAGGGCTGTGCAAAGTCACCAGCCTCACTTTCTTCTCTGGAGCCGTCTGGGTACAGTGGCCAGATATAGATCAAGAGGACTGGAGACGGCCCCAGGTAGGGAAGGGGACAAGCAGGAAATATATCTGTCCTGGCATCTGATTTATATTGCTGCCCTTGGAAGAGCTTGCCTTTGCTGGTGTCCTGTAGGACTGAAGTGTCCTTGCCATGTAAGGAGATACCTAGATTCAGGTTCCTTGAGCTTTACCTGAGGCTGATAAAACTTTGACAGAGGATTGTGTCAGAAGCAGGTGGGGGCAGTTGTTTCTGGTGGACCAGGAGTTAGGACTCCTTTTGAAGGCTGGCTGTCAAATTCCACAAGCGTTCATTCAGCAAACATCTTGAAGTTGTTTCTAGGCACAGGACACTCTGCTAGGCACCAGGGAGTTAAAGACAAACGTCAAATAATTCCTGTACTCTCGAAGAAGAGAACAAGTATGCAGATCATTGTGATGCAGGGAGGAAAGCTGAGCTTCACCAAGGGGTACAGGGAAAGATCAGACTGCATGTTCTGGGAAAATGCAAAGAAGAGATGGAGATGGAGGAGGACGTTGGAGATCAGGGAAGACTTCATGAAGGAAGTGGTGCCTGAGCTGAGCTCCAAAGGAAGGGGAAGGATTCTGAAAAGTGCAGATGCTGGGAGCTCATTCTAGGGACGGGGCCCGGCTTGAATTCAGGCAAGAAACGTAACGTGAGGGTTGGTGAAACAGCTAGTAGACTAGTGTGAGTGGACCGTGGAATGAAGGAGAGTAATACGAAGTAAGGCTACCGAGGTAGCTTGGCCTAAAGAATCTGTATTACGCTAGAGACAACGAAAAGCCACCTGAGATTTGTGAGGAGGCTAGCAACATGGTCAGATCTGTGTGTGCCTTAGGGAGATTGTTTAGGCAGCTGTGTGAAGGGTGGGCTGGAGAGGGGAAGAGACTGGAGGCGAGGAGATCCATCAGAAGGCTGTTTCTGTAGTCCAAGGGAGAGGTGATAGAGAACTGAAGGAGGGTGGTGGCTGTGGGGGTGGAGAGAAGGGGATGAATGCAAGTGCTGCTTCGGACTTGGCCATTGGTTGGATGGAGCGGTGGTGGTAAGGAGAGGGAAGAGCCAGAAGAAAAATAAGCAGTAACAAATCTGGGTAGCTGGGAGGATGCCCTCCTCCCCATCATGCTCTGGAGGGAAAGATGAACATTTGAAAGACCAAAGGGTGTAGGGGGCAAAGTGGTAAGTTCCGTCTGAGCCGTGTTGGATTTGAAGTAGGACATTCAGGTGGAGATGTCCAGCAGGCATTTAAAGTCCTGGCCCAGTCAGTTGTGAACCACGTGACCCGTGGCAAATCACTGATCCTCAGTCTGCCTCAGTCTCCTCGTCTATAAAATGGAAAGAATAATAGTACCTTATCTTACAGGATTGTTATGAAGATGAAATGAGATT